AGTCGTGAGGCAATGAAATACGTCGGAAAGGGCTCCAAAAATATGTACAAAACTGTTATTGCTATAACGTGTGTACACTCTGTCCACTCAAACACTCTAGCAGGGATACATTCTAAACTCCACAATCTCTTAGGTTGGAATCTGGGCTCATATATCCAACTATGCTAGGGATATACCTTGGAAGCTGGAACACTAGATACCCTGCTCATGGCCTGGCCATGTTTATGAATGTCTCACATTACTCCCTCCACCATGTTGCTGTGAGTACATATTCCTCTCAGTAAATATACTGTGGCAACTCATATAGGGCAAGCTTTTAGGGAATTGCTCCAACCCTCATCATTGTACGCACAAGCCTTGGCATTGCCATTGAAGACACCAAAAGCTGTATATCAACATTTCATGCTGGGGAACGCGCCAACGCGGAGCTTCCTGTTAGCACTGGCCCCATCTTAGACATCTCCCGGCCTGCAGTCGTACCTCAAATGGCCAACTCAGACAAAGATGACGAGAGCAGTCTTTAAGTCCTTCTAGCATATATTTGTGGTCTCTTTCTTTCCTATTTATTCCGTTGTTGTATTTAATCCACCTTTCCAAATAAATTATAATGTCCTTCCAAGTGGCCCAGCTGTTATTTGCAGAAACTGAGATAACTGGACTTCTTGATTACACTAGGTTGTGTCTAATTATCTCGCTTCCAACCACACATACATTCCAACTGAAAACAGTTGATAACGCCGACTGAAAGCACCCAACAATCAATCATGTCGTTGCATGGTATTCTCGCCGCCACCGCCAACATATTCAGCATCTCTGCCGCAGGAGGTACTTGGAACAACATACCGAACCTCTCGCAAGCTGGAGTCATAGCAAGAGCGATTTCGGGCTCTGCAAAGTTTGGTCCTCAGCACCAGTCTTCGTGAATTGTGGAGAAAAGGCAGCTCGGCTGATTGTATAGCAAGAAGGGACTGCCGAGAAGATATCGAGGTACAGATGCGCCAAGACCTGAACCTCGGCTAGAGCAACAGAACGATTGCAGTGAATAAGACGATTCCCAAGAGCCAATAGTAGTGTACTAAGGGTGGGCACCGTGCCCGTATGTACGGTGGTGACGGTACCAGTCATAGAACTCCATACCCGTATCTGAGAGGCACTGAAGTCTGAAGCTGCTCGCCGTACAGTTCGGTAACAGGTATGGCTCAAGGCCATACGATGGCGCAAATACACAGCAACCGCGTAATCCTTCTCAAAAAGAGCATGAATCGGGTGTAGAACAGTTGTTCGGTAACTCCAAGCTTCATCCTGAAGGTCTATCAGGAGAAAGTCTCCGAAAGGTTCATCCACGGTCCCAACGTCTTCACCAAACCTGCTGACTTTCCCTTGAGGAACTGTCTGCACGAGGACAGTTGCTGATGGCTCGTCGGGAGCAGTGTTCACGGTTCCATGTCTTGTGCCACGCGTTGAATGCATGATCTTGAAACCTATGAGGAACAATGAACAATGTGTAGACTTTTGACAGCGGCAAACTCAAACGTTACACGTACTCTTGGAATGAACCAAGCGAATGAGGCAAGGTCCGTGCTCCAGAGACGCGATATGGGCTATATGGCCGTGAAACGCGCTCAGGTTCATCAGTCGCATATCTCATCTGTGCCATTGAACATGAGAAAATGGACGGAAGACTAACAACAGCTGAACCCACCGGCACTCTTCATCTCCGACAACTTTTGAAAACATCACCGAATCTGCCTTGTCTGGTCAGTATGTATGGGGTAAATGTAACGCGTCATGAAACAACTCACGATCTTAGCACGGGTTCGCAATCTACCCTGTCTGGAAAAGAGCCGAGGCGGTGGTAGCATTGTCGAGACTCGAAGAGAAAGGACGCGTCATCAGCCGTGAGTCAGAGAATGTCATTGTCAACTTCGTCGACATTATCGAAACCTCCGAGAAACTTGGGTAACGTTCAGGCCGGCTCGCATTTTGAATCTTGAAGCTTGAAACGACCCATGATAGCACTCCGTGTCAGAGTCCCAAATCGGTTCAGAACGGTGTGGCCGCAGAGGTGATTTTGGTTCTCAGCGACCGATCAACACCCCGAACATCCTTCAGCTTCAACCTTCAACCTTCAACCCGGGCCAGACCTAACACGAACACTTCCCTAGCCCACAACCAAGTCGCGACAACTCCTCGTTGAATGTTGAGTGTTGGCTCGTCGCTTGGTTCTTCCTGTCCAACTAGGAAATGTCGGAGGAAGCAGGTATAGAAGAAAGGGGTAGAGAAGGAGCAGGAACGGCCATCTGCCGGTGGTTAATGGTTGGGCCTGGGATTGCTGAGAAGAAAACGAAGACACGTCGAGTGAAAAGCTTAAAGTGCGGTAGACTGGTCCTTGCAATTGTCATTGAGATGTTCGGGCATAGATGCGACTAAGACGATGCGGTCTGAAAGCAACTGGTCAAGGTCAGCGTTCGATCTAACAGCAAAAGAAAAAAAGGCAACGTACTACTACCTCAACTAGGTGTATAACAACGTCCTTCAAAAACCCAGACCTAACCCGACTAAACCCGACCACTTTGCGAAAAAAAAAAGCCGCTGCTGATGTCTAGGAACGTCGTGTCGTGTCTTCAGGACTCGGGCCCAGAAACGAAAATCAAAATCATGCCATTACCAGGGTCCATCAAAGGCAGCGTTGGTCCTTGGAAAGCTGACCCAAACTTAAAAACGTCGGACGTGAAGAATAGCAGGAACAGGGTTTACTGAGAAGACGCGTCGATCGCGAGTGAAAAGCTTCAGGTGCGGTAGACTGGTCCTTACGATTGAGAGGTACGGTGTTCGGCGAAGGATGCGGTCTGATCACATATCAAGGTCAGCGTCCAAAAAAAGGTAAAAGGTAACATACCTCAACCGGCATCCTTCCTCCTTCAAAACCCAGCGTTGAATCGGAGGAATCGTCGGCGACAGACCTAGCCCAGTTTGAACGCTCCTCAGGCTAGACTATCGCGAGGAAGAACTAAAGTCAATTAACCTGGAGGTACCTCAGAGCAAGTCAATGTTCAACGCGTGCGTACCTTCCTGCCCTTGTTTCCTGTTTCCCCGTTCCAATTTCCTAGTACCCAGCCTCCTCGCATCAAGAGTCAAGACCGGGCCTAATCCAATGCCATTCGGACAGTGCATATCGAAACTTGGAACTGCGAAAAAAAGCCTGGTGGTGTGCTCGCGCTAATCAGACCCATGAGTCCGAGTCGTTCAGGTCTGTGTCAATTCGGACAGTGCATGGTTCTTGGACAGGCAGTGCGCATCCGAGAATGCCTCGAGAGTGGATATGTATCTGTTGCCGTTGAAGCGTTGAAGCTTTGAAGGAGCTGCCTGCATCATCGATGTTAAACGTTAAACGTTTGGGTCCAAGGCGTGCCAGTGCACGGGCGCTTATACCAACAAAGACGTCAAGCAACTTCAAGGGCACCGCGCTCCGATCGCGAGTTTTTGGTACAGCTAGGAAGGGTATATACATGTGTGTACACCAGCACCATAAACCATAAATAGAGATACGTAGATTGTACAGTCCAAAGTACTTGGTATAAATAACACTCTTCTCCTCAACCTTCTCCTTCCCTAACACACCACACCGCATCTACTTCCCCTTCACATCCATCGCCTTCCTCTCCGCCCAATCCAACCACCTAACCAAATCCTTCCCCAAAGTCCACACAATGAAGGAAGGAAACACGATCCACAACCCATTAGGGATAACCCAGAATAAGATGAGTGTTTTGAGGTCGTTGTGGCCTATGGCGCAAAAGTTGCAGTAGTATTCCTGTTTTCATTTAGGCGTTGTGGTTAGTGGTGGTGAAAAAAAGATGGGGAAAAGGGGAGAGAGATGGGGAGACACACCTGCGCCCAATACAACACCGTCTTCGCCAACGTCAACCCTGCGCTCAGGAAGCCTATTAGGACCCAACGCATTCGGAGATCTGGGGAGCCGATGAACCCATTCATGCCTGGCGTACACCCAACACCATCAGCACCCCGCCAAAAAATCCAAAAAAGAAAACAGAACACTCACCCAACAAATAACACAAATTCCCCCCCGTCTCCAACAAATTCATCAAACTCTGCGCATTCGTAAAACCACCACCTTCTCCCCTTGCTGCTTCCTCATACGTACGAACTCCGTATACGAGATCGACGTTCTGATAAATCGAATACGGCTTCCATATATAATGGAGATCACCCCCAAACATGGAACGAGGACGAAGAAAGCAGTATGAGGCATCCCAGAGGATTACGGGGAGTGTTAGTGTGAACCAGAGGGAGGCTAGGGTGTGTTTCTTGGGTTTGGGCGGTGTGGTTGGGGAGGTGCCGTTGGACTTGGTGCTGAGAGAGCCATTCGTGTTGGTTTTGCCGTTTGTTTTGGTGGACATGTTGTCGTTGCTGCTAGTGATGGGGGTAGTAGGGAAAGAAACGGCATCATCATGCGATTCTGTTTCTGTATTTTAAGGTCGACGTGTGAGAACATTCGTTGTCACAGGGAAAAAGGAAAAGGAACACGGAAACGGGAAGGGGCAGATGATCATGACAGACCTTGTTGACGTGATACCAGGCTCGGGGATGTCGGCGATGCGGATTCTGCCTCTACCTCGCCTCCTCCGCGGAGTAGTAACAGTTCCTGCCAATATTTATAAAACTCTTCCTGCGGGTTTGGATCGTGGGTTGTGCGGCGTTCGCGTTCGTCAGGGTTTGAGCTGGAGGAGGAATGGTGTGTGATACGCGCTGCGTGTGAGGCTGAGAAGAAACCTGGGAGATCTGGGAGAGATGTCATCGTCTAGCGTGTAAGAGAGAAAGAGAAAGAGGAAAAGAGAGAGAAAGAAAGAAAGAAAGAAAGGCGAAGAAAGGGCATGCTGAGTGGCTCTTTGTGATTTGTGAACAGGCAACGTTGAATGTTCGTGTATCACGCGTGCCACTGGCGCTATGAAAAAGAAAAGACCACCAAATCATTATTGAACCCAAGATGGGGATCGAACCCACAACCTTTGCCTTCTTATCCAAGACGTAAATCCGAGGCATAGGAAAGCAACGCACTACCATTGTGCTACTTGGGCAGTTACACCACCTTTCTTACTCACGCACTACATCCTGCCCGAGCCCATTTACCCGGCCCGCTGACTCACCTCACTACACCGCAACCCTGAGTCGACCTGAACACACACACGCTCTCTCCTCACACCAACACCAACACCAACGCACCAACACTGGCGTCAACCATCCCACTCAACATCCAACCACTCCCCCTAATTATATCTCTCCTCCTTCTCTTCCTAGGCCTAAGCGCAACCAAACTCCTCGTACGTCCGCTCTCCGTCCGTTATTCCCACGCCTAACCCCAACCCAACACACACCCCTTATCTCTTACCCATCTCGGTTCCAGTTCAAACACAACAACATGGACTCCAATATCGCTCAATTCGTCGCTGTTACAGGTGCTACGTGCGTTCTCCCTTTCTTCCTTCCACTAAGCGAATGAGAAGCTAACGCAGCGCAGTCCGCAAACAGCCAAAAAATTCCTAACACACCATAAACGTGTTGACATTGCCATCGATGCGTATTACAATAACCCCACGCCCCCAACCACCTCTTCCCACTCCTCCTACACCAACTCCAATTCCAACGCAAGGCAGGGCCCGTCGACGTCAAAGATCAACGCACTGTTTGATAAATACGCTTCACCGGAGGACAATAACAAGATCACGACGGATGGTACGATTCGATTTTGTGAAGATCTAGGCGTGGATCCGGAGGATGTGGTGTTGCTGGCTGTGGCGTATGAGTTGAAGAGTCCTAGGATGGCGGAGTGGGATAGGAAGGGGTGGGGGGAGGGGTTGAAGGCGTTGGGGTGCGTTCGTTCTCTTCTTTTCCTTGTTTCTTTTCTACCTTATTTCTGCCGCATAACGTACTGACGTACGAACACAGAGTGGATAACCTACAATCTCTATCCTCACTCCTCCCAACCTTACGCTCAAAGCTCTCCTCCGACGCGGCGTATTTCAGAAAAGTTTACACGCACACGTTCACCTTCGGTCTGGCGGAAGGACAGAGGAGTTTACCGATTGATAGTGCGTTGGGGTTTTGGGGGTTGTTGTTGCCTGTTGGGTTGCAAGGTGCGTTCTTCCTTTCCTTGCTTTCTTTGCTTTCTTTGCTTTCTTGGGCACTAACGAAATCCTGGGCAGGCGGCGCCTTGGCGTACACACCGAAAGACACCGACGGCGATGTCGATATGGCTTCAGGGAGCTCGGGGTGGACAGATAAACACACAGAACTCTGGTTCGAGTTTTTACAAGAGAAAAAGGTTAGGGGTGTTAGTAAGGATACTTGGGGGATGGTGAGTCCCTTTCTGTTTCTTTTCTTCCTGTTTGTTTCTTTTGGGTGTGTTTTGGGTGTTGTGTGGTTTTTGTCGGGGGTGTAGTCATTGGGGTGTTCGCCTTTTTGTCGTCTTTCTTCTCCTTCTCTTTGGGTGGTGAAAACGACTGACATCACGCACGCGCAGTTCCTAGACTTCCTCCTCTCAACCGACTCTACATTCTCAAACTACGACCAAGAAGAAGCATGGCCTAGTACGATTGATGATTTTGTTGGGTGGGCTAAGGAGCGGTTGTCGTAGTATTCCTGTCTCCCTTTTATCTTTCTGTATATATATGTATTTCTTGGGCGCCCGAATGAGAGACATAATACGGGAAAGGGTAATGGGGGTGTGTTGGGGAAAAGAGAGGAACGCCCAAGTAGCACAATGGTAGTGCGTTGCTTTCCTATGCCCCAGTCAATTGGAAGTGTGTGAAGGCAAAGGTTGTGGGTTCGATCCCCATCTTGGGTTAATCCTCCATCGTTCCATGAGAACTCCTTTTTGATTTTAATTTGTTCGTTTCAGTCCTTACTTATCTCTCGACCAATATTAACTTCAGCTTCGACGTTGATTCGGAATTCCGTCACGTCGACTTGTCTGGGTTTTGAACATGGAGGACGTTATACACTTAGTTGAGGTATGTTGACTTTTGCTTTTTTTTTTGGAATAAGTATGTAAGTGCTTACCCTCAGATCGAACGCCTCTGCATCGTCTCTATACTGAACACCCCTCTCAATTACAACTTGGGGCCAGTCTCACGAAGCTTCGTGTCGTCATTTTCACGCGTCTTCTCAGCAACCTCCTTCATCTCCGACAGCGGCACGCTCACGTACCACCGCCTTGATTCTGAAATTCGAGTCGTGCGGTGTGGGGTTTGAAAGGCTAAAGTTGTTGAAGAAAGGGGATGGTTGTTCCGAGTCAGAGGTAAGTATGTTGAAGTCTTTTTTCGTTTTGACCCTCGAATCAGACTGGGATTAGGACAATTTTTGAACCAAAAACGCCTCACGGCCGTCATAATCGTTCTGTCACCTCGATATCTTCTCCGCCGACTGCCTTATGAATTACGAACCCAGATATCAGATATAAATCACGAACACAAACGCCCCCTTTGGCTGTTTCTTTGGGTTGGGGAATCTGGGTTTGAGGAAGGAGAGGTATGTTGCCTTTTTTGTTTGATCCTTGGATTCGACGCTGACCTTGGAAAAAGTTGCTTTCAGACCGCATCGTCACGGTCTTATCCGTCGCATCTATGCCTTCGCCGAACATGCCTCTCAATTGCAAGGCTCGGTCTCACGAGTTCTGACCGCCCTTCTTCTCAGCAACCCCGGGCCCGCTGCTCTGCACGTCATTCTACTACTAGCTCTCCAAGGACCAATCTACTACAAGCCTTTAATGGACCCTGGCCATTGATTTGGATTAGTCACATGTTCGTTCTGCCTTTACCAATGTCTTACGAATTACGAACCCACTGCCAGCAAAGTCTGGGTTTTCAAGGGGCACGGTCTTGATCTCGATGGGTACTAGGAATGGGGAAACAGGTCCAAGGAACGTTAAGGGAAGGTACGCGTTCACTTGCTCTGAGGTACCTCCAGGAGAATTTACTTCAGTTCTTCCTCGCCATCTAGTGTGACTTTGAACCCGAAATCAGCGCCTTCCAAGTTTTCGGCCCCCGGGCATGGTGACATCCACCGCGCTAGTTCAAATAAGCTCTTCGACATATCCAGACACGATATCTAATTTCCTAGAGTTTTTGCTAGCGCACAGCCAGGGTTTTTCCGCTCCGCGTCCAACATGCACCAGGGATTGGTTGAGAGATTAGAGGCTGGAATGGGGAAACAGACCGGGAGAACTTGGAAGGAAGGTTCATGATCACTTGCTCTGAGGAACATCTCTGAGCAAACAACACCTTTCAGGAGCGTTCAAACTGGGCTAGGTCAGGCCTTTGGAAGAACGATACGGGGGAGAAGGGCAATTTTCAGAGCGGAGCTGCTTAACAGGCAGGCTTCGATTCTGGGAAATCGGAGACTACCGTGACGACCGGAAGTGTACACTCTCGTACCAAGACTCTACTTTCGATATCGGCACCTGGTCACACTTGAGTCGTTCCATCTCGCGCTCGGGGGCGACTCTAGTACCTCCGCGTCGTCGTATGTGAGAACTGCATGGCTGACTCGGGTGCATCTCCTTGGAAGTTTGGATCCGGATAATAATATGGACGAACGACTCGGATGCGCACAAATACTGTTGGACTGTCATTCACCGGCGTATCGTTTGTATTGTACTCGTAGGGAACTCGGAATAAATAGCATCCTGGCTTTGTTACATTTATCAATCGGACTACGGGCGTCAAACTTGGGATTCGGAAGGAATATGAGCCCCGGGAAGTGTGGAATAAATGCAGAAATTGAATCAATAGGGTAGAACGCGAGTTTATCAATATCCTGGACCATTCGACCGAGAGATGTCCAGGATGGCACCAGTGCTCTGAGACTGTGGGATATCAGCTTGAGAATCCGAGTCGTCGTGTTGCTCAGCACGGAATGTCGAGATACAACTTTTGGTATCTTCGATGGCGATACCGAGGCTTGTACGTACGATGACGAGGGTTGGAGCGATTCCCTGGGTAGACTTAAGTATAAGACCAGAGTCTGCAAAGTGAGCCAAGGCGGTTACTTACAGCAGCTTGGTTAAGAGCGGAATATGCCACAATTGATATAAAATAGTATGGTGATAAGTTGGTACTCTCTCCACCGCTGTTTAATCTTGAACTTGCGATGTAGATGATGAGCAGGACGGGATAAATCAGTCCGGATTCTAGCCTAATGAAGCCCAAGTTTGAGCTTCAACTCGTAAGTGAAAAAAAGTTGGAGGTTTCACGCACGTTACTGCTATAGCTGTCCTATACATATTTCTTGGGTTCTTTCCAACGTATTTTGTTGCCTCTCGACTGATGTAAATGATTCTACCAGCTATAGTCAAGGAATTGATGTGTCAAGAGTCTTTAAAGCAAGAAAAATGTTACACATACCTATTAGCACGGTTAAGAGCAGATTAGTGGCGACCGTGCATATGAGGAAGACCATATACATGTAGAATGTCCAGCCAAGTGCCTCGTCAATATCGTGCGCATATGAGTCTTGGTATAACATGGATGCAGGGAAATGAGCGATGAATGCAATCCCGGTAGCTAGTAAGATGAAAGCATGGAATATGAATTTCCTTGCGGCAAGCCGAACGATAAACCACAAACCGTTATTCAATATACACAAAAAAAGAGGTAAAATGACAATCCGTCTACGTCGACCCCAGATAAGATAGCATCTCCATAGCTAAGATGATATGTATGTTAGGGATTAAGTTTGGAATTGGCGAGAAAGCGGTTGGTCATACCAGGATTGAATCTGCGATGATACTGTTTGTGTCAGAACATGCAAGTGTTGTTATTTGAATGACAAACATACTTTGAAGCTACCCCGAGGGCCTGCCTTGATATATAGAGCCTAGAGTTGACTTCCCTGCATGAATCCGAGTCGTTATTGTTCAAACATGCATGCAGAAGATGGGATTCTTACTGGTTTCCTATAATGCTAGAATGAACAGGATTGCAGTAAATCGGGTTTTGCAAGCAAATATCAATGCAGGTGTCATTGACTTTGTCTACCATGAGGTCTTCACCGGCTACTAGTGCGAATTGGAGGGTGATACGGCTTATTTCGTCGAAGGTATCAGCAGCGAGAGCTGCGGTAGCTAATATGAAGAGTGCTGTGATGGATATGCAATGCAGGTGATATCGTCCGGGTCTTTTTTTGGAGAGAATGTGAATGCAGATCCCGAATAGCACGATGTATACACCTAGTGAAGAGTCAATATTTGTTCGTAGGAGACCGGTGCAGGGTCGTTGTTATACCGTATATGAGATACTGGGTCTAGTGTTTTTAGGTATGGGTTTCGTGAAAAGAGTAGATGGTGTACTACTTACAACAGCAAAGACGGCAAAGCGGCAGAAGGATTGCATATGTTCTCTCTGCATCGTTTCGAGTCCTTTTATAAAAGTATTGCACTGGCTTGTGATCTAAAATTTTTCATACGTGAATATTCGAGTCGTGGAACGTCTCAGTGGGAAAAGTGAATACTCGCCTCGTGGGATGCCATATTGTACTATGAACTCTAGTCGAATCAGATATTGGTTTTGGACTAGGACAGGCTGGACAGATTATATATGAAAGGTGAGTCACATCTCGGGGAACTCTAGCTACTCACATCAAGATAGGCTATAGCATACCATTTACCGTTGATACTGGACAGTGTTTGGGCGCGATTCCGATGCCGATATCCGTATCAGTCGGATAGCTGGAGGTTGATTGGGAAGTCGTCATGAAGGCTTTACCCGGCAGGATAGTAACAAGCTGCAAGCATCTTCGAGCCATTTGGTCGGCGGGCTACCACCACGCAAGCTTGGTATATAACAGTCTGTCAGATGCGAGATATAGCATGAAGCCCACTGGCTAGACTCCGAGAATATCGCTAGGAATATCGGATGCGGTGGCATAGCAATGATCAGATTATGAGATACTCGATCTTAGAGCGTCGGCTGGAAAGGAGCATGTTATTAGACACTTCTGAAGATGGATGATCACGAACGGGGTACCAGTAAAATAGCAATATAAAGAGCGTTCGTGGGAGCTACTCCATCCTAAAGAGACGGTGGCCCGACTGGCTGATTGCGAACGAAGATACGAAACACATTGCTGAGTCGATTGAACTTGTATGTAAGCTGCTGCTGTTGAAGCTTTTGAGGGAATTCAAGGCGCCGAGTTACGACCTAGTTCCGTGTTTGAGTATAACAATGAGTTGACTATCATGATCCAGGCACGAGCACATCAATGCATCACCGACTGAAGGCGCACCTTTGATTGTCTAGAGTGAACCTAAATAGACTTCAAGTGCTTATTTCCGCGTCTTGGTGTCATCTTTGTACGATTTGTCGACGAAAAAGGGTGTATATGTGATTTGGAGTCATCGCGTGGAGCAGGAAGATGGAAGAAAGAGGAAAAATAAGCGCCTGAACGCCTTGGATTGCAACCGTCATCCGTTCGAGCGTCAACTTCATCCATGCATTAGCTCTCGAGGCATGATTACTCGGACACAAGATTATTGGCCCGAACCCAAATACTCTCGAATCCCAATATTCTCGCGAAAACACCGCCTGGGCCCAGGAGTGGGCTTTTTCGTCCCAACATGATGACGCACTGTCCGAAAGGCTTGAAGAATTGAATGGCATTGGTTCGAGGTGTTCACGCGAGGCACTTGGCCGTTGAGAGGCTGGAGGATGGGTGTAAACGGGGGAAACAAGGGAAGGTACGTAGGCGTTAACTACTCTGAGGTACCACCAGGAAAATTTACTTTAGTTCCTAGCAAATGGCTTCCTCGCGATAGAGGTTCCAGGAGCGCTCAAACTGGCGCGTAGAAAG